TTTTGATGTTTTACTATATCATTAGCTTAATACTGCTCTATTGTTGTAATATTATGCAGTTTAGTGTCAATAATTGTATTGGCAATGTGGCCTCATTCTGCATACATAMAAACCAACCCCTGGCACMACACCCTGCCACAGCTCCAACAGTCTAATGGTCTATGTCATGGACTTTCATGTGGGAGATCAGGGTTCAAATCCAGCTAACACTACTTTAACAAAAAATCTCTTCAAACTTCATATTGTCACTCAATTACCTTAATTACAAACACCTGCTGATGTGACAGGTACAAGCTGGTTTAGAAAACATATTTGAACTTGGTCAAAGTTCATTCTGAAAGTCCAAGGCATCAGGTAAAGCCATGCTAAAATGACATGCTACGTGGCAATGCACACTTGTTTTTACATCTTAAAAACCCATGTCTAGTTTGATCTTGTTCTTCTTCAACCTTTAGTTCAAACTGAGGCTTTTGTTCAGGCAGCTGCTTGGACACCTGCAGCAGGTGTACCTGGCCATCTGTTTGTASGCCTCCTCAGCCACGGCGAAGATGTGAGGGTCCATGTCGCCCATGTTCTGCCCGCTGTAGGCCGTGATCACCTCCTCACCGTAGATCTGCAGCTGCTCGTAGGGGTTGATGGCCACCAGGACGATACCTGAGACAGGAACCAGAACATCACTACAGCTGTGGCACCAGGCTCCGCCCACAGCTCTGATCCTGTCAATCAAACTGCAGAGGTTCTGGTTCTGGTTCTGACTGACCGCAGTACGTGTAGATGTGGTTGGACTCCAGGAAGCGGACCCTCAGGTTGTGCAGGACGGCGGGTTCATGCAGGTAACTGAGCGCCGTCAGGTCGTTCTCCCCCACCAGGATGTCCGGGTTCCGCAGGAACGGCAGCGGGTTGGACTTTGGACCCACCTGGTACTCCAGGTTCTGTAACAGAACACAGACTGGTCTCAGTCTGAGTCTGAGACAGAACAAGTTCTGGTTCTGAGTACTGACCGTTCCATCGTCCAGCTGCAGGTGCAGGACCGGTTCCCCCTCCCTGTAGTCTCTGGTGATCTCTGCAGCCCTCCACACCTCGTCCTGGTCCGGGATCCAGACCCGGGTGAACTGAAACACACAGACATCGGGTCAGACCCGGGCCAGGTGTTGTTGTTCTAACAGAACCACAGGTTGAGAGTCAGCAGAACCAAACACCAGAACTGATCCAGATTCAGCTGAGCTGCTTCCGTCCACAGAAGAATCGGACCGCTGACCTCGAACCGGTTCTGGAGGATAAACCTGATCCAGGTCTCTGCAGAACCATCATGAACCCGTCAGGTCTGGTGGATCAGTCTGACGTGGTTCTGGTCAGAACCTCTATCAACAGGAAGCAATTAAATAGTTCCCTTCAAGGTTCTGTTCAGGTTCTGTTCAGGTTCTGTTCAAGGTTCTGTTCAAGGTTCTGTTAAAGGTTCTGTCCAGGTTCTGTTAAAGGTTCTGTTCAGGTTCTGTTCAGGTTCTGTTCAGGTTCTGTTCAGGTTCTGTTAAAGGTTCTGTTAAAGGTTCTGTTCAGGTTCTGTTCAGGTTCTGTTCAGGTTCTGTTAAAGGTTCTGTTAAAGGTTCTGTTAAAGGTTCTGTTAAAGGTTCTGTTCAGGTTCTGTTCAGGTTCTGTTCAGGTTCTGTTAAAGGTTCTGTTAAAGGTTCTGTTCAGTAACTGATGAAAAAGATGATCCGGCAGAGATTTAAAATGTGACTCTTGGTGCTGATTGGACCAGCTGAAGCTCCTCCCCCTCCTCCAGCTGCTGGGCCACGCCCACAAAGGAATGACATCATCGCTTGCAGCTTTCATTCAAATCAGCTGCACAGAAAACAGCTGATTTGCATCTGTTTCCATGAAGCAGTGAGTCAGCTGTGGTCACATGACCTGTCTCACCTGTCTGAGCCTCACAGGTGAGTTCACCTGCGGACCTGCAGGTGAGTTCACCTGCGGACCTGCAGGTGAGTTCACCTGTGGACCTGCAGGTGAGTTCACCTGCGGACCTGCAGCCACACTGGAGGATTAATCCTGCCTCATGATGGTTCTCATCAAACTGCTCTGAGGTTCTGTTGGTTCTGCTGGGCCTGGATCTGGATCAGCCAATCAGAGGAGGCCTGCTGACAATATGTTTATCTGGGACACACACACACACACACACACACACACACACACACACACACACACACACACACTTCCTGGTTGAATGAAACATAAAACTGATGTTTATTAAAGTCTGTCTCAAAGTGGGAGGGGCCAAAGACAGACCCCTGCAAAAGTCCTGGTCCAGGTCTCATTTTGTTCTGGTTCCAGGTCTTTGATGGATCTGTGGATTCAGTTCTAGCTGAGGGGACAGAAGTGGTTCTGCAGGTCCAGAGTGAAACCTGAGTCTACAGGTGAGGCTGGTTCCCACACAGGAAGTCCTCTCTGGGAGCAGGTCCACTGTGGACTGCTCAGGTGAGGCTCCGCCCCCCGCTGTGTCAGCACAGGTGAGGCTCCGCCCCCGCTGTGTCAGCACAGGTGAGGCTCCGCCCCCTGCTGTGTCAGCTGAGCACAGGTGAGGTTCCGCCCCCCACTGTGTCAGCACAGGTGAGGCTCCGCCCCCTGCTGTGTCAGCTGAGCACAGGTGAGGCTCCGCCCCCCGCTGCGTCAGCACAGGTGAGGCTCAGGTGAACTCTGGGTGTGTCTGCAGGAAACAGACTGTCTGAACTTTGATCTGAGCAGCAGGAAGGTGAAGTTCACACACATACCTGTGACAGGTGTGTGTGTGTGTGTGTGTGTGTGTGTGTGTGTGTGTGTGTGT